GGGAAAAAAAAGTGTGCATTGCATTTAGTCATAACTAGAAAGAAAGCTCAAAAAATACATTTGCACAGAAAGAAGTTACGCAGTCAGACCAAAACCTATTCACAGAAAATACTGAGCAAAGAATTTTCCCTACTGAATATATTTCAGTAGTGAATATGTAAGAAAGGCTTCCATAGCCTAACCTGTTCTCCCTTGCATTCACTACTGAGAAATCATTTCTCTCTGACAGACTAAAGATGCCAGCTAACTTTGACCACATGTTAAGTTTAAAAATAATTAATCTTGTGCTTTTTGTCATTTACCTCAGATGGGACACTCTTTGGTTAGGAAACCGCCTAAACATCCAGAAAGGTACCTCATTATGTTTCTTCAATGTCTTTGCTTAATTTCTGCAATGACACCTGTTCAATAAAAATGACATTTTTTTTAGGGTGTGGGCCTACTGGAATTACTGCTAATTGCACAGACCAGATTGTCTTGTAATTCCCTTATGGTCCCCATCATCTGTCTCTGTCAGCGTTGCCCCTCAATATATACTTGAAACTGTAGGCATTACAAGGCAGATGCTATCTTGAGGTTCTGAGTTTGCAGGCGCGTTGAATAAATGGATCCTAATCCAAAACTGGGGCTCCAACACCTTGTGAAGATACGGATAATACACAGAATCTGCAAACCGAGCTAGTTGGGAAGTTTGTTTGCTAGGTATTATGACTTACATTAGCCAGTTTGCCCCAGCAGACTTCCTCACCGATCAGTACACATCAATCTCTCATACAAAAAACTGAGAATCACACCTGCTTCTGCCCACAGTATCACAGATACTAGAGGCAGGTGCTAATGCTATGCAGCAATATTCTAGCCTGAGTCGTTAAACTCGTAACACTGCACTTTGCTAGTTTTCCTCTTTGTAAGAGCATATTCTTATTACACGGTCGACCAGTCCTGCTGTTTTTCACATTTATTCTCTGAACTCCCGTCATTATTGTCTCGGTGTCAGTATTAGCTTTACCCATCGGTCAGCTGTAAAACACTAATACATTAACAAGCCTGTAGTGAGGAGATGCGCAGTCAGCATCGATATACTTGCCCCAGAGTAGCTTTTCTCTGAAGAGGTCTGTATTCAAAGCTCTAGAGGCCTGAGGCTGTGCCCAGTCATGCTGCCTGTTCTTTCTTGACATAGCCCTCCAGGTTTACTACAACTTGCTGGAGTCAATGCACAACAGAAGACCTACACCTTCAGGCTGAAGGCTGTTCTCCCTGACAACCTGTGCTTGTCCAACTGAAAACACTGGCATTGCACTGATGCTGCAACAAAA